GAATTATAAGTAATAGCATAAGCTTTATATATTTTGTGGCATGTTTGCTTGCTTGTGTGAACTGATAAGTACGCAGATATTTGTGAAATTTCCAAGAAGATATTTATATTAAACCCGTCTGATCTAAAATTTAGTCCGTCGCATGGGTTCACCATCTAATTATTGTCGCAATAAGTTGGTTGAGCATAAGAATCTAAGCTTTGGAACTCGGAATTTGTGATCCGTTATAAATATTGGCGTTATCAACATGAGAAAAGTGCATGGTTTCATGACTCTTTCTATGTGTTTGGAAAGGAATGTGAGTATGTGGCTGGTGAAAGCAAATAGGATCTTGCACTTGAAGACGTTCACTACAAGAAAGAAATACGAACTAGTTTTTAACAATCATCCACACACTCATCATAAACTTCAATTGTAGCGCTTAAGTTCCAAAGAGAAAATTTGATCTCACACTGGCGATAATAGTGTAGAACGCAAGTCAGATCATTACAGTGATATGAATCAAAGAATAGAAGTAACTTAGCCAAAGTATCACGATTTCAATAGCGCTTTTCGTGACATAAAACATCTTTTAAATAAAAATGTACAGATGAATATGAGAATATAAAACTGGTAATTTGCAAATCAGTAATGTTCTATAATTTTGATAAGGACATGTAAACTTTAGAGATCATTTATAAGAGAAAAATGGTCTATGCTCACTGTTGTTGACATGTTAGTAGAAAACGATCTATTTAACCATCTCAACTGATCCTCACAAGTAACAACTTCCATAATAGCGAGAAACTTTTTAAATATACTATTAATGTCTTTTTTGACTTTTACCCTCTGATTTCTCGTACAAAGTGTAATCATCTGTTGTGATTTTGAAGTCGTCTATGCGATAACTTCATTAGAATAGATTTGAACTGCTTGATGTAGTACCTACTAAAAAACAAGTATACGTGACTGTCTTGAAATTTGGGTAAAAATTTAAATTTTATCTGTATTCTTTTTTTCATTTTAAATGAAAAATTAATTGTCAGCATAGAAAGAGTAAAACCGAGGCTTACTCAGAATCATTAATCGAGTTTCTAAAAAATCTATATGATTACTTATTTTAACAACAAACTAAAAAATGCCTTTCACAGTTTAATTTTCAAGGATATACTTGCTACTGATTGTATTACAAAAATTCTAATTATTAACTGTTGTATGAAAAAAATCCTGCTGGTTAGATGAACTAAAAATATCAGTAACTTGCTAGTGATTGTGATAGTCTACACATTGAAACAAAGAACCTTGAAGAAATATTTGAAGAAATAAGAAATATTTTGTTGAACACACGGCAAAGTAAGAACGTGAGTAGAGTGTAGGATACAATTGTGCTCGGTTCCTACTCTTTGATTCAAATGTACATTTATATACACTCCATTCTACATATTTTTTACTACATATCTATTGAATTTCTATTTCATTGTTTTTTCATGTAACTTACCGAAATTTTGTTTTTAACATGTGAAAAAAATGTCCGATTCAAACTGAAAGTAATCAAAGGAAACTAACTCATGTATTATATAAAAAATTAGGCTATCTGGTTAAATGTTTTCCATATAGTTGATGAGAAAAGTATGCAATGAAACTGAAGTAAACAAGCTCAAACGGTTATCGTAGTATTTATTATGTTGGTTTATATGGAAAGAAAACAAAGATTTTTTTGGATCATGATCTATTTTTTTTAATTCTATTACCAGTTGCTTTCAGAATTACAATGGATTGCATATAAACCGGCATTTCTGCTCTTTCTATGAAAATTTGTACCGTGAAAATATTCTTGAGATCATCATAGTTGTTTATTTTTTTTCTCTCTCTCTCTCTGAATCTCTCTCACACACACATTGAGAGAGTCCCTACTTCAGCTACTGTGTTTAGTATTCATCAAGGGTGCCTTGAAAAGAAAATGAACAATAGTTAATGCTTCCAACGTATTTGCTCACTTTTTTTCATATGTGCGCTATAATAAAAAAAAAACTGGGATTTGTTTTTTCTGAAGTAATGAACATTTTTTTAATATGGATTTTATAATGGTTTAAAGCTGCTTCTGCAATTTGCTCAATAGAGAACGAGTCATCCATGTCTATTTCGAGAATCGTGTTGTAGATAATTTGTTTACTTTATTTTTGCTACGAAGATTATAGAAAATAAAAATAAATTTTTTTTTTGATAGGTTAGATGTTTAGGACGAATGATACTTATATTCAAATATATTTTTGTCAAAAATAGTATAGACAGAATGCTGGTAGGAATTTTTCTTTTTATAATGCATTATATTGTCATTCCAGCAATATAAATCGTTTTGAATAAGCTTTCTCTCTTTCTAGCTATGTGCATCACAAAACAGCGGTCTTCTTTGTCACCATCTATACTCAGATATCTAATGTTGTTAAAAAAAAGAAAATTGTCTTTTCGTAAGAAAAGAAAGATCAATAGAATGACTGAAATTTTTTATTGATAGTGCATGCATTGTTCAAAGAGAATGTACATGAGAATTTAGCATACTGAGTTCAATACAAGATGAGACTGTCTTACAATAGTCCACTATATGTACGTTTTTTTTTCGAAAATGCTTTAAAAAAACTCTAGTCCTACATAAGAATACAAGACGCCGCAAATTAAGATCCGACAATCGAATCGTTTTCATAGATCAGTTTTATATGACCAACTTGCCTATTTTTCCAGTAAGTAGGAAATAATACGTAAGTCAACTCCTAATACCTGTATTTGGCTGAAGAATTTTTTTCTTAATTTAAGTCTTCAATCATTCAGATCATACTTATAGAATTGACATTCTTCAAAAATTATCTCTTGCAAGCTTCTCCTAATGATCTAATACTTTATTTCATACAAAAAAATCTTCAACTAAATACGAATATAGACAGTTGGCATATGGATTGTGCCCTATACCTACTGTAAAATAAACAAGTTGCTCTGTAGATAGTTCCTCTATGGAAATGATTCGGTTTCCACGATGTGTCTCGGCTTTTCTTTGACTCATGAATATAGATTCAGCTTTTCTTCTAAATGATCTGAGAGAACTGTATTTAAATTTCAAGTTTGTATAAAAGCTTTTGAAAACAAAAATGACTTTCTAATTATTATTAAACTAGTCTACCTTCTATCCAAATTATCATATTAAATTTGAATTACAAGAACTATAGAGAATAAATATATCAATGGTAAATAGTGTCTGTCAACAGAAGCCGTTTTATATGTAGATACACTTGGACTTAAGTCATCCAAAAAAATATGTTCATTATAACTCATGTGTGTTATTTGCTAGTTTTCTTTTCATTTCCTTGTTTTGCATCTTCCTTATGTCTGTATGTGTATCATTAGGATACTTTCCAGTAGCTGGAAAAAAAGAACTGCTCCTCGTGAAAATAGAACTATCTATTTAATACTTATTTGCAAAACCGCTCTAAAAATTCTATTGATCAACTTTTTTGTGGAAGATAGTAAAATACAAAGTATATTGGGCAAGGTTGTGGATAATTAAAAGTGAGATTCAAAATTATAAAGAACGTCTATTTAGTAATATGGAGATTGAGAGATAATCGATTCGATGAAGACATTCTATTATTTTAAAATAAAGCTTCACAAAGATTTCAAAATACATAGAAACCTTTAGATGACATTAGAATGTTACAAGAAGCTTTCCACTATTTCTTAGTACTTTGAAAAGTCAGAAATGAAGCTTTCACTTCTGTCGTTTCTGAATTTCAGATTAGGAAATGTATTTTAAATTACATTTACATTTTTAAATCGTAATAATCTCTCTGCAGATTTATTCCATGATTTTAGCACTCTTTCAATTACATTATCTGTCGTAGTAAAAAGTATCATTTTTTCCTTTATTTTCCTTTTATTCTTTAAAAATAAATGATTCATTTAGATTTACTTTTAAAAAATGAATGATCATTTACCTTTATTTTTTAAAAGTAAAGGATTCATTTATCTTTATTTTTTAAGAGTAAGGCATCCATTTATCTTTATTTTATAAAGTAAAAGTTAAGTGCCACTCCTACTTGAAAACCAACGAAATTGTTACATTCGGACGGCGGTAAAGTTTACCTGATATCGCTGATACGTATCCGTTATTACATTCAGCTGTGCAAAAACATCAAGGATTCAACAAAATAGGTCGAAGTTATCCAAATTGCTCAGAATACGAAAGATGATTTCGATTGGTAGTTTGAAAAGAAGCGCAGAAACTTGATATGCTATCAATTTTGCCTGCTATCGGATACACTGGTTCGTGATAAATGAATGGCTGTTGGCTATTTTCTCTTCATATTCCTAGCTTTTTATTAGCAATACCTTATCTAATTTTACCAAAGTTGTGCATAATTCTCTGCACAAAGAGAACTCGAAGAAATGTAGTGCAGAAAATCAAATAAAACTAGAGGGTACGGATGTGGATTGTGGATGGGTACCTGTAGTATTCCATTATACCCATAGCTGCACATCCCATACCAGTGAGTGGAACAATAGCAGAATTTCATCAACCAATGAAAAAAGAAAAATTAAACATCTATATAGCAATTGTTTATACAACAAATATAAATAAGACGAATATCAACTATATTTTGATCATTATATTGTTTTCTAGCCTAGATTGACTAGTTTCGTTACTTTACTTTTTATATACTTGGTACCTATCATGTACGATTGCAACGTTGAAGGGTAAATAATACAGTGGTTCATATACAAAGTGTGATGATGTAGATAGTTTTATTTTTGGTAAGCTGTCTATCGGAGGTATGAGCACAGGATACATGTATGATAGCAAGACATATATTGTTCTCTAGACAAAGAATCCACTCAGTTCGAGTACTCAATATTCTTTGTATAAGTTTCTATGAATTCTCTTGTAATTATTGGTTATGCTTCGAGTTTTTGTGTTATGGAAATAAAGAAATATAATTTTTTTTCTGATTGCGTTACGATAAAGTTCATATCCCTTAGAATGAAATGGCAAATTGTCCATCGGTTATTTTATACTCGACTAAAGTGGATCGTTTGGCATTAGCTTTACTCAATGCTGTCAAGCATTCTTTTAACCATAATTTAAAGTCTTCGTTAAAAGTTGGCCGTTGTTGTTGTCCTTGTGGTATTTCCAGTTCTAATTCAAATATCAGCAATTCGGCACATGTTCCACACATTAGCAATGATAAAATAAGGTAAAAATTGTTGGTTGGAAAATCAATATGCAACTGAAAATATAGAAACTTCAGCTTTGCAGAAAAAATGTTGAAGATTTGAATCATATTTTCAAGTAATGGCGGATCAGTATTAAATATAATCCGTAATGTGTCAATCTGTTTCTGCAATACTTCTACCAATGATGATGATTTTAGAAATTGAAGTAAGTTATTGTAACATAAATAAAGTCTGCTGAGTTTGTGTAACATAACGAGAAGATCCTGTACAAGCGATACTGATGGAAAGACCGAATCAGTTGGTGAACTGAGGGTGAGATCAAGTGTGGTAACATTAGATAAATCAGAAATCGATTGCATTATATGAGAACAGATCAAGCTAAATAATAACAAAACTTAGTCATTTCACATAACTTTGTAAAAATCTATTCTTCAAAAAAGTCACTTCACATGTATAGTTTCTATCGTACGACAATCAACGTTTCTTATTCTTTTTAATTATCAATGGACCATACTTTTCAAATTATTTAGGAAATATGAATATCAATAAGAGATATCAGCGATATAAATGGATTGACGTACCTATTTTTTGAATCATTCTCCGGCATAGCAACAGTCATTTGTGAATGAATGTTTATTGTTGTTACCATTGGATAAACAGTCAGTTTGTCATTCATCGATAGTTGATCGTCGTTCAATGTAATTTTAAGTGTCGTAATATTTTTATCAATATCAATCTCATAATCTATTCGCGTTGTATGTCGTTGTTTTCCGTACAATTCTACAATATATCGACCATTATCTGAGGGTTGTGAATAGGTATAGAATTCTAATAATGGTGACTTCAATAGAATGTTATAGTCCATAATCACACAGTTGTCAATCCATTTAGTTTTGATATTGTCGAATGCATCAACAAGCTCAGATGGTGGGCTTTGCTCTACAGCAGTTCCTGAAGTGAAAAATAGATGGTATTGAAATTACTAAATGGAACGCTGAGATTTCTAATTGAGTTACCGCAAATTTGAATGTAAAACCGAAATTTTTTCAAGTTCAATAGATTTTTCGAAATAAATTCGTGCCAGCTTGTTGCCGATGTTAAATCCAAATTGTCGCTGAGTGCGAAAAATGTTAAATGTCTTAGATTACGAAACAATTTCAGAAGAAGTTGGAAATCCGTTAATGACAAAAAAATAATGACATATGGAGATGATTTAATAAAACTAGAACAGAAAATCAACAGACCACATAGTGAATTATGAAATTTCTGTAGAATTAAATTTTCTTTTGAACCTGCTAAAAAACTCATATCTCCAATGAACACATAACTACTGTAGGCATGCCAAAGTAAGTGAAAAATAAGTGATGTCGGGTAACATGGCTAATCCGACATGTCCAGAATACCCGCCAGATTTAGTCCGAAATGTCTTTAATGCTCGCCATGGCTAGTTCTTTTGACAAGAAACGACTTGCAACCGTGTCTGAACTAGTCCACAATATCCCCATGCCCCATCATATCTACTCGTTTCGTCTATCTATCCTGTCTAGAATAGCCAGTAGGCAAGAAAAGTAATAACAAAAGTAGACAAAAAGTGGATTCGGATATTCGACCTGGCAGCATTCAATACTTGACGGATATCCTGATGGTAGACCATGACTTAGTGAAAGGCCAAAATCCATTTAAAAGACTGAATAGCATAATGACGCTCTTCATCTGCTATGTAATTTAAAACCTGTCGGAGACGTACCACTTGACTAGCGTGAAATGTCTTCAGTGATAGTCATGACTGGTCTAAAGCCTCATCTGTGCGCATCAATGCTACTACCTGTCCAAAAATAAGATGGACTCAGGTATTTTTGCAATAACTCGATAACAGTAACAGCTAACGATCTGCGGCTTTCACCAACAGAAAGAGTAGAAGTTGGGACGTCTTTTTCTCCGATAATGTATAGGACGAAATTCTTTTAAAAGTCATGGGTTTCGAAAAACAGGCAAAAGAATGCATAAAAATGAATTTCCACCTAGATGAAATTTTGATTTTTCTCTTTAATTTAGATAGAGGGACTTCAGATCTATAGTTCAAGATACAATTCAAATGGTTCTCCTATTGGATTCTATCGTTGAGCAAATGGAATCGTGTATCTACATGTGCCAATAATAGGAAAATTTGCTGGCTTTTTACTAAGTTTTCGCACTTTTTCTTATAATAGCTTGGATTTTCGATAAAAATGCAATGAAAAGTAAAACAGCCCATTGTATCTTGATCTATAGATCTCAAGTCCCTCTATCTAAATCAAAGGAAAAAATCAAAATTTCATCTAGATGGAAAGTCACTTTCATGGATTCTTTGCATGTTTTTTGAAGATGATGACTTTTAAAAGGATTTCGTCTTACACATTATTGGAGAAAAAGACGTCCCAATTTCTCCTCTTTCTACTGGCGAAAGCCGTAGGTCGCTAACTCTTTCCGTTCTTGAGCTATTGCAAAAATACCCGAGTCCATTTTATTTTTGGACAGGCATTAGTTCGATTTTTTTTAGAATGAGCCGTCAATCATTATCTACGCAAGTCTAAAAACTCATGATAACCCATTTCGATTTAATTCAATTCTGTCCTGCTACTTCAATTACACGATTCATATTGAAAAGGAAAAGAAATGGAATGTAACACAAGGAATTTTTCAATATTTGTATTATTTTTAAAAAACTACTCATGAATAATCTGATAGATTCTTTTTTCCTTCGTATTTAATAAATGTGAAGGTGGATCGAAAAATAAAAAAGTCGAAGTAAGCGCAAAATACAATTTTTATCTCTTAGCAGCAGGTGCCAATTGATTTCGCATAAAATTGATGAGATGTGCAAAGTAAAATGAGGTTAATTCAATTTGAAGATAGTTAAAATATTTTGTATTTTGAATTTGAGTTTAAGAAAGACATTCTAGGGATTTAAATTTAAGAATGAATTTAAAAAACAGAATTTTAGTTTAGTTGTGGGTATAAAAAATGCGCAATTGAAATTAAATTGTGATGCAAAAAAAATTTAGTTTCTTCTTCCTCTAAATAATTTTTAATTTTATTTTGACATTTAAGATTTTTTTCAAGGTAACTAACTACTATTAATAGTTGATAATAATCAAAAGAAATTCCTAAAAAAAATTTTTCATTAAATTAACTTTGTTCAGCATCGTCTGAATAATTTTATATTATGTAATAGGCAATTTTTTATTCACATGATTATTTGAAAATCTAGGAGTAAAATTATCTTAAATAGCACGTTACAATGATTATGAACTTGTAGAGGTTGATATGTGGATGATTTGACTCGATGGACTAAATGATGGGTAAGTGATAAATTGTATGCATGTTCGAATCTAGCTTTCACCCTTCCATATTTCCATTTAGATTATTCTGGACTTGTTCACCGCATAGACTACAATTCATTCTTTATACGGTCCTAACGATCTCAGTTTTTTCAATTTTAAATTGCTATCGAACGGGCTTCTCTATCGTTCGGTCTAACTAGTCTTTGTCTCAAAAAGTCCCCCATCGGGATTAGTCTGAACGTCTGCAACGTACTTTCGTTCCAATATAGAATATCTATAATCCAGGACGTGTCGCTTTTGATTTAAGGAATATTCTTACTATATTTCATGACCACCGTCAACTACATCGTTAAGACTGGTACGTCTGACCGGTCAAAGTTCAGACTAGTCCTGGCAGAGAAATTTTTGAGATAAAGACTAAATAGGATGAAACGACTCGACTAGAACAAAGACTAGTCATTTAATCTGAATTTTGTTCACTTGAGTGCACTCATCTCATTTCTAATAAGTCAGTCGATCAGAACTGGACACGATGCATAACTAGATGTTTTAGTTTTTCTAACTACTCAAATATAACTTTTTCATTCGAAATAGTTTTTACTTCCCATTCATCAGCTACCTGGTATTTTTGGATGTTCATCATCGCCACTAAGTAGATCATCAATTATATTTGGATCGATTGAATCCGGATACTGATCGCGTTCATAGCTGATTCCAATTTTCATTCGCTTGACGTTTGGACCTACATGTTTGAGCAGCTCCAAAAAGTCCATCATATGACAATTATTGATTGCCAAATATTCAAGTACATTCATTCGACAAATATTGTCATGAGTAAAATCGAAATTCATTGGTTCAGTCGAATACATGATTAGATATTTCAATGATTGTAATGAAAATAATGCCGCCGTCATATGAGCCGATCCAATCGATGCTTTATATATATTCAAATAGGATAGATATGGTAATAAATGTAATTTAGTCACTATTCTATCTGAAGGAGAAATAAAAATTTGCTAACTTATATTTTAGATTCATTCAAGATTCACCAAAATTCTCTGGAGATGCGTCCGTGATAGTTAATGATCTCAAATTTGTAAAAATACCAATGTGAGTGTGTTGATGAAACAATGTTAGACGATCGTATTCATCGGATAATTTTAGACTGTAGACAGATGATGCTAATAGTTTTTGACTAGAACAATAATTATCGAATGCAGTTTTTGTCGATGTCAAATCCATATGCAATATCTGTGCATGACATATTTCATTTAGACGCGTGTTTAAATCATAAATAGCATCATATAGATCACAATGCGATAAAAATTGAAATATGTAATTTAACAATTCATTTGGTAATTGTTTCAAAGTTGATATTAATAGTAATATTTCGACCTATAAATACAAAATACAATACACAGTTACTGTGTCCATATATACAAGTTTATCATTACGAACGATGAAATTTCTGTATGTTCTTACTACTCAAGATTCTGTCAAACGATCCTAGTATTTACGCTGATTAACTCCAAAAGGCTGTATGAATGCAACATCATGAGTGAAATTTGCATAGAAACACAAAATAATCCACCTTACCACAGTCTGAGAATTGTTGTTTTCTTCAACCATTTTCGCTATTGATTGATTGATTTGAGAATAGTGGAAGAACAGTTATGATATCCGTATCAAGAATTCAAGCAAATAATTGAGTATAAACTGTCTTTTTGTAACTTAGTTTGTGGTCTAGAGCAAAGATGAAAATGAATCAAATGTTTAATAAACGATCTGCATTTTTTTTTAAGTAAAAAGAAAAAATATAAACTAAATAGCATTGGTATCGATCATGTTAAGAGTATTCTTCAGGAGATCAATGTATGATGGTACTTCAGATTTTCTATTCTTAGCTGATTATGAAATCAACGTAGCTTCAAAGGATATCACAATAGAAAACTCATGATTATTTACAATCGCTCACTGCTAGCTATGCTTTTTGAAGCTGCCTGTAAATAAGTGACAGCAGTAACATTTTTCACTAGAAGTAATAAATATCACATGCAAGTCAATACTAACCCCTTTGCAACGAAAAACATAATGATAATAGTATTGATATAAGGTTTCAATAGCTTGATGATGAATCACTGAAAAGACAGAACAAAAGATTGTCTGCAGAAACGCTGACACGAAACGAACAAAAGAAAAAATATTGAAAGAAGAAAATTGAAAAAAGTGATATCTCTATTAAAAAAATCGAAAAATCATGCACATGTCTATATCTTCTACACCTTCGTTTGATAAGAATGATCCACTCACTATCCTCAGCTATTTTATTTATTCAGTTGGAAAAAGAAAAACTGCTACTTGTATTAGATACAAACATGTTTCAATTAAATAAAGCAACCATAACAAAAAGGAAATATTCGATATTTACGCAACTCACGCTCTTAGTACTTATTCCTTGATATTCCATATAGTCGTTTTAATAGACGACGTATCTATATGGTGTTTCAAGCGTAATTGCCAAACGAAAGAAGCTGACCCTTAACATCATGTTTTTCATCTTGTATCTATCTTCGATGTAAACTTATTGTATAGATGTAAAGGCATTTTTTTAAAAAGATTCTTGCTGGAAACATCACTAAATGCTCATAGACTACTTACTGTGTTAGTTGTCTCAATTCGGTTTGTTGATTGCAACTTTTTAGTATTTCTACGAAGCAATTGCTCTTTTTTAAATTTAACTCAGCATTAGCCTTTCTATTATAGTTTGAATCATTTTAGTATCTAATATCTCTTGCAACATTTCTTCTTTATTCCTCTTCATACTTATCCTTTCTATGATTGGAATGTTTTACAGTTACATTTCTCTTCGTCTATTTATTATTGCAGAGTTTTTTTTTTAAAGTTCATTTCAACGACGTTTTTCTTTTCCTATGGTAAAAATAACTAGTTTTGGAGCCGTATTCTTAAATATCGTGGTGACTAAAGACGGCCGATGTCCGATACATGTATGTTAGTGGAGAGGTACTCTGCAGAATGTGTTTGGTTGCGTCAATTTAGACGATTTAATTGTCAAGGGCTAAGCCTTCTTCGAAATTTTAGTTTATAATGAAACCAGAGATCTCATAAATGTATGATTATGTTAAAATTTAAAGGATTATTAGTGCAGACACTGTAAAGTTACAAAAACGAAATCCAAATATCTCCTTTATCTCAGCTATACTTATATAAAGTGTAGAACGTGCGAATTCAGCATATGTATATCTATTCTTCTATCGAGTGTTTCATATTTTGTTTGAACCATCATTATATGCTCATCAGTTTTTATTTTCAAAATCCTGTTATTTTGATTTTGGATTCTTACTACAACAAGTATTGAATTAAAGCATGAAATAGGCTGTCGCAGATTTCTATCTTTATATGTCATGATTGTTGATATCGGTAATGAATATGGAAATTTCTCAAGCTTGTCTATATGACTGGCATTGGAAAATCATAAAACGTGCACTTACTATTCTGTTGGTAAACATAAATTTGTTTCTATGAGTTTCAGAAAAAGTTAATGGAATATTCTAAGATTTCAATGTTCCTTATATTAATGTGAATGATATCTATAGAGTGTAGACGTAAGTATAAAGTAAATGTTTATAGGTGAAATTGAAAGATACTATGCTGTCTATTTTTCTTCATCATTTGTTCCACCATTTGAGGTTTAACACAGAAAAGAGTTAATCGTATATACATCATGTCACAATTAACAAGAGAATTCAGTTGAGTTTGAAATAGACGAGTTAATCACAAATATGGCTTCTACAGAAAATGTGGGAGATAATTACAAAACAACTTGCGTCAGAAAAATAAGTTGTCAGAACAATTTAAAATAATTTTTATTGCCTCATAATCATGAATGTATATTTTATATTTTTGTCTTCAGCTTCAGTGTAGTGTAGTTGTGGGTGTTGTCTTGATCCAATACTACATCCACGACAGCACACATTTTCATGTTGACGTCCACACACCCATAGATCAAGATAAAGAAAAAAACAAGAAAGTTTCTTTTTCTTCTTACATCTATTCAAATTAGGAATGACTTCTCTATTTGTTAAGTCTTGATTCTGAAGAAAATACTCGACAAGAGAATTGCTTTTTGTTATTAATATGCCTTTGTATTTTATGTATAATAGTAATTAAAAAAATGATTTCCAGAAGCAAAATACATTAGTTGAAAAAGCAGATAACGCTCATATATTATAAATAAAAGTAAAAAGACAGCAGAAAATTCATTAAGTCTTCTAGCATTATTTATGGTTGAGCAAAGAAAAATAGGTAAAAAATATTTATTTTTTTTTTGAAAAGTTCTTTTACACAGGACCAAGAAGATGTTTATCAAACCGAACTTGTTCATTGTCATTTGATTCACGTTAACAATATAACTGCTACTCATATCATTCTACCAGGTCATATTGACTCTATTCAAGAACCATCAAATGATCGTTTACCGCCTAATCCAAAGGTATATTATCTGAAAATATATAACAAAAACCAGTAGCAACTGATGAGTCAAAATGAACTGTTTACAGAACAGCACAAATATTATAATGTTCATCATCAACTTTTTGTCACAACTTCATAGCAGCATGGACAAACCATATGATTGTACACTATCAATATATTGATGTTTATCAAACGATTAAATTCGATGAATTGAACTAATAAAGATCAAAAAAAAACTTTCAACTTGGTGAGCGATCTTATCATATATCAGCTGCTAATTCGCATCAAGTATCAGTAGCTTTTAATCGTTCATCTTTACAGACTGATGACCTTGGATGTGTACTTATGAAGGTTAGTTGTATTATCATCGTCTTTTATTTGCTTTTTTTTGCTTGAACAAGTTTTTTAATGCTAAAAACGGTACATCATTAAGAGAAAAATATGTTTTCATTAGAAAAAAAAACATGAACTTGATGCTCTTAAACCACAAGCTGTCAACTTTATTCCAACAAACAACACCAACAAAGAAAGAAAACAATTTGGATCATTACAAAATAGTACAAATTTCTCAACAAAAAAAAACGATCATTATTGATTCCACTTGACCGTAATAGGCGTGAGAAATTTACAAGAAAGAAAATTGAACAAGTAGTTCTTTTGTTTTCTTAGATTTAACTATAGAATATTCCAGCCGTTATATCAAACATGATCTATGACAATAAACATTAATTGATGATTTTCGACAGCAAAGTAGATTTCCTTTATTTTTTACGGTATGTGGAGTTGACTGTGTATCGAGAGAGGATTCACGCCACACCCCTACATCTGTGAGGCGCAAAAAAAAAAAAGAAAAGACATGAAAATATCTATTGATCTTTAGTTAACTTTGAAAGTGTCTTTGATGCGCTTTTGGTGAAATAAATTCAAAGTTATTTTTTTTTTATTTGAGAAAGAGTATTTTTCATAAAATACAAAAATAATAAAAAACTGTCACTTTATTCGGTATCATATGATATAACAAATGTTATTGATTTATAATTGCTTGCTTTTCTAATTAGGTCATAACTAAATTTATTTTGATTAGACGAAGAGCCAGAAATTTTTTGTATAAATTTCATTCATGCAGTCTTCTTAAATTTAATATTTCGTCTGTTTAATCCAAGACTCAATCTGAAATAGAATATCGGTGAAACATGAATTGCTCTACTTCAAAAATAATTGCTGTCAAATTTCAAGTTTTAATAAGATTGAATTAAAATGGAAATAAAAAGAAATAGAATATTTTTTAAATAGTTTTCTAACTTATCAATCGTTTGAAAAAAGATATGTTGAATGTTATATTGTTTTAATAAACGAGACATACCATACTGATTCATTTTTGCTCTTTGACTGCTAAATGTTATTATCAATAAATGATGCATGTCTTATTTTTCAGATTTATTGTATCCTTTTCTTTTTACTAATTCACAAATATGATGCTATCATTATCTTTCTTTAGCATTAAAAGGCAAATACACCCTGAAGGAAATTTATGAGCTAGTTGTTTTAACGGTGACTTTGCCATTTTCGAATAATTATTTTTGACTTTTTCTTCTTGTTTTGTCTCATAACTATCATAAATTACTACGGTTGCATATTCAATACAATAACTCAATATAAATTCTTTCATTTAAACGAATAAATTTTCTTCATCCACATGCGACGATTCACGTAACAACCATCTGTAATCACTTTTGTTTCTCCATTTTAATGATAAGCAACAACAAAAAGAGGAATGTTCATAGAGTCGAATTCCGTAAATCATTAATCAGCAACAATTAGAGTATGAGTTCGATTGTTCTTTCTTTGTAACTACGTTTAAACTTTTATCCAGACAAGGATCATTATTACTTGTTACATTTTCGACTCTCCTCTCAACTTACCATATCGAACTATAATTATCATATCCATTCTTTCTATCGTTTGTTTTGTCTCTTATTTTTTTGCATTCGACATTGCCATGTCTCTATTGTGTAGTATCGTTCTCAACTGTGACCGACTGATTTTGCAAAAAAAATGAAGATAGAGAAAAATAAAAAGAGAGACAAAGAAATTCTATTGTAATATAGAACTTTAAATAAAAGATAAAATGCTTTATTATATTTTTGCAAAAAAATAAGACGAATAAATGAGAAATATATGTATTCTAAATGCGAATAAATATGTAAGAAACGAGAGCAACAGAAAAAAGGATAAATTATTTTAAAAATAAAAATAGAAGAAAAGGAAATAAAGATTAGAAGCATGAGAAAAACGAGTTCACCGATGTAAATGTTTTGTTTTTGTTTCAATATTTTGTTGTACAATTTGTTTTAAACTTCGTTTTCTCGACTAAATTTGATTGATATCGTTTGTTGATTATCAGTAATAGTTATAGTATCATAAGATAAGGGCGTTGTAAATGGTAATAATAAGATAATGATTTGAGTCCAATGCTATCTCGTATCCTATCTATTGGTGTAAATTAGGGTGAGTTGTGTTTAATTGAATCTTCAAACGTTTTTGTCATGCCAAGCTAGAATTGTACAAACAAAGACCGAAAAAAGCTGATCGATAATATTCTTTTATTAAATAAGCCAACAGTAAAATACTTATTAAATAATTAAATAAACAAGACGTTAAATAAAAGCAAGATCATATAAGTGATTGAAAAAGAATATAGAAGATTGATGAATTGTTCCCAATCGCAAGCTTATATCTATTAGTAGATTGTTAAGAAAAATAATGAAAGTGCAAGAAATTCTAATTCATTTATCATTTTCTTTTTCTTTTATCAATAAGAAATATGTGTAAGATTTCGATGTGTTTCCCACATTACGGTCAAACACAATGGATAAGAATTCAGTTGTAGATAGATTATGTTAATGTTTTCAACAATGATAATATTCATAAACAGTGTAATGAAAACGGGAAGAAATGAATTTGTTTGTTATTGTAGTTGCTGCATTACAGTGCCTATAAATGTTATTATCGTTAAAAAAATAACATAGTCTATCCCCAATTTAAACTTTCTTCATTGTGCTTGATAATAATGTGTGAAACACATCGAAAGCTCATACGCTTTTCTTATCAATAAAAGATAAATAAAATGATAAATGAATTAGTTTTTCTTGCATTTTTACTACTTCATTGTATTTCATTTAGCAGTGGTATTATGACGAAAGTATAATTTTTTTGTTCTTCAGTTTCCTTTCATTATCTTTTCGAATTTTAAGTATTAGCTATAGCAACATACAACTCAAGTACATTTCAATGAATATAGTTAAGAAGGACATAGGAATCAAAAAACAACATTTAATAGAATAGATGAATCAAAGCTCATAAACAAGTGAATGTATATGGTGCTTATGCTTACGTATTTTAGGATGATTTAATAAATAGACGTTAAGTGACATGGTCCTTTTCATTTAGATAATAGTAATTACCGTTGCAAACATTCAATGTAGACTTTAAAAAGTTTTCAGTGCCTTAATTAGCATGAAAATTCATGATTAGGAATATTAATTTCAATAAAGTATAATTCTTAAAATATATATGTGCATTGGTGTTAGCGAAAGAAAACTTTTCTAACCTCGGTGACATGAAAGAAAAAACAAGAACGACTCGCAAGTTATACTGTCAGTTGGAAGAACCCAAATTGATTAATCAGAATGCTCTAATTTCACAGAATAATTTACGTTATCATCAAAAATTTTCAAAAATATTGATTATGTATGAAACAAGCAAAAAAATTATACAATATTAAATAGATACATATTTCTTCAGATGAAATAGGTATGCATTGTAAATGACCTTACTTACAGAATACTCGTTTACCGAAGTTCTAATCTTTTTTTTCTTTCAATAGAACTTATTATGAGCATGTTGGCCCACTTCCATTAAAATAATCGAACATTGTTCACACATGTTGTGACATAGTTCTTCACCTTAATTTTACTTAATGCTTCATAAATACAATAAGGAGTCGATGGCCATTTGGAAATATAACGTGTTTTATTCTTTTTTTTTGAATAATTTTTGAACACAAACAACTAGAGACTTTCAGTTCATCGATCGAAAGATGAGACATAGGAACGTCTTTTTTTTCCAATATCGTTTAAGACAATCATATTAAAATCGGTCATTTTATTGAAACTTAAGAGAAACCCATAGTTTTCATGCGCGTTAATCGCAGATATTATTTTACTCTATGCTGGAATGTGAGAAGATAATCATTTGAATTATATCTTGAAGTATAGTTCCGAGGTTCCTATCTTTGGAGCAAATATCATAAACAAGACTTCATTGGAATAATCAATCATTTTCATGCATTCTTTGCAATGTCTTTCAAAATAAACTGGTTTTAAACTGATTTCGCCTCAACCTCTGTCGATTGGTGAAAACTAAAAGTTTACAGCTGTTTGCGTTTTATTTATACACTGTCTGCAAGAGTATATCGACAACAGCTATTACAGTTTTTCTGGAACGGAGGGAGGAGTAGAATAGGTATGAATTTTTACCCTATAAACTTTAAAATTTATTTCGAATTGTGTTTTAAAAAAGAGCAATGAATGTTTTTTTGAAGTCAAGTTGACGAAGCAACCTGTTTCTCACCAACTTGAAAGATATTTTTTCTTGAATCGGTTGGACTAGTTCAAAAAATGATGATTCGTTAGAACTCCATCATATATAATCTTAATTCTAACAGTATATGTATTTCTTCATGATTACTTTTCTACCATCTTATACGATCATACATTCCGATCATCGTTTCATTTGCATGGTATTCAAGAGCTTCCTAAGGTCACTATGAGTGAATGGGGGAGAGGCGCAAAAAACTCTGTTGGAATCGAGTTAGCAAAGGAATCAAGAAACAGCTAGAATCGTGCTGGTGAAAATCGAAAACTATGGAAAATTGAGGTCAAAAATTACCTCTGATAGTCCCAATAGAGTAAGTAAGATATATATAGACTTTTTCATAATATGAAACGCACATTTTTATGGATTTAACTAAATTTAACACATTGACGAATGTAGTAAGAAGGAGGGAAACTGATTATAAAGTCTTACAGGCTGACTTCAAGAACCTCTGGTACCTAACTGTACATTGCTAGAATGCATAGAAATTAAGGAAAAGGTTTAAATAAAGTAGAGGACAGGCATCAACTGACATAATCATAGGGAACAGATCTAAAATTGATCATATGATTTCCAACCGCTTCCAAAGAAATTCAGGAATTTTAAGACTACATGTATATTGCTATTAATTCTCAACAGAGTTATGATTAATTGCATAAAAGAACAAACATTAGTGGAATTGTTGATTCTTTTGTTCCTTATCGTAAGAAGAAGAAGAGGATGGCATACCTACATTTGCCGACGTACCTGGTGATGCTGCTTCATTAATATCATGTGCACCTAACTTCTGCATATGATGTGTTGTCGGGATCAAACTAATCATCTAAAATAAACAAAATTTATCAAACAGTAAAACACAATAAAAGTAAAGACTTTCTACTTGATGCCATAGAAGAACCGAAACACCAAAAAGAAGACACCACATCCATTGTTTAAATGTTAATGGAACACAAGAAAATAGAAATGAACCATATTGAACGAGAATAATTTGTATAACAAATATAACAATCCACATACCATAAAAGGTTGAATTTGCAAATATTCCACGAAAAATATTTTTTTCGCGATGAATTTTTCGACAATTTATTTCCTTAAATAAATTCATTAAGACAAACACATTGAATATCATTGTAAAATGTTTGGAGGTTTAAATAGATTGTCAACTGAACGACCATCATCAATACCAAATATTTTAGCTCCTGTTATAATCAAAAACAAAAAGGAAAAATATGTATAATTATCTCTATTCGAGACTTATTTATTTTTTCTTACCAAAAAATAAGATAAAAACTATACAGCTAATTGATAAAAAACATGACCAATAATATTTTTCATTGCTGAACGAGTTATTAATGGTCGTATCCATCCATAGGGTTTACATGTTAATAAATCTTCTGCTGATACTTTAGAAGCAAGTGCTAATGATGCCAATGTAGCTATAATTGAATTAATCCAAAATATTTGTGCAATACGCAGTGGGACTTCTTTTATAAGACATGCTCCAATAAAAATACAAAGTATAGTAGCAAAATTAATAGTTAATATAAATTGAGAAGTTCTTGCTATCGAATCATAAACCTGGCCACCCCACATTACAGCTTTGACTATTGTATTAAAATTGTCATCAAGAATAATTATATCTGATGCTTCTTTTGTTAAAGCGTTACCTTTAGTACCCTATTAAATAAATTAAACTCTCATTTGGCGATCACAACTTAGTATGATATAAAAGTTGATAAAGTATATTACTTAAGATATGGGACCGAATGTGAAAATGAGTGTCAATTGAGATTTATGATGGAATTATCTCGACGGCTAACGTAAAACTCCAATATGTTTTCAGATTCACACATCATCTGTATTAATTTTATTCTGATTGTAAGTCTGTGGTTAAATCTTTCTTAAATATGTGTATCAGTCAGCTATTTATCTGAGTGTAAATTTAAATATATATTCTAAGTCTAGATCTTTATTGAGACCATATTTCACGACAGAAGTTTTACAAACATGAATTGCTTTTGTATCAAGACTATATACATCTCATAGGCTTTAAATATGAGCAAAATCATACGATAAATGTGTGTTAGACAGACGTCACTTAAGGATCTCAAAATTGTAAGAATACTCGACAAAAAATATCTCAGACAGATTGTCAAAATTCAAAAGCTGTCTAGAATCATAATAAATAAATTTCATTTATATGGAGGTAGAGCTTGTCGATGAGACTTAACCCACTCTATCTCGATTCCAAAATTTTGAGCTCGACAGATAGTATTAGAGCATTTTTACACTTCTTGCTCTGCTTTTGTGACTTTTGACCTTAGGATAATAATGATCAAAATAGTTGGAATATTCGCAATAAATTATTACTGGTAAAAAACTTGTTTCTGTATCAGGTTTCGATATAATTCATTAAAAACTACACATTGTACATCTTGATAGTCTTAACTGAAAAAAAATTAATCAATTGTGATACTTCTTTTATAAATCGGAACTCAACTTAGCATCAAATTCATAATGTTAACTTATGTTGATACTTACATTACTTTCAAAATCTAAATCATTGCATAGCCAACAAATACTATTTATTCTATCATGTTTTACAGTTTGATTGTCATATGTATAGATGATAAAAAATTAAGAGAAAAAAGACGAAACTAACCATAGTAAAACCGACATCAGCTGCTTTCAAAGCAGTAATATCATTTGTTTCACTACCGATAGTAGCAACAATCTCACGCGTTCCATTGACTTTTTATGCCATAATTCATCTTACAAGTACATATTTATCTTATAGTTATGAACGAGCTAATACACGTAAATTTGGCCAAATTTTATCAAATAAATTTTGCTCAACCTACAATTAAAAATAAAATTTCAACAAAAAACAATTTTTTTTTGCAAAACTTTTGTTTACTTTTCCATCTGGTCTTGTTCTTATGCATTGATGAAGTTCTTTTCCTTCAAGTGCTAGACAATCATCATTTGCTGATATAATGCCACATTTAAGTACTATTGATCGAGCTAAATTAATACTATCTCCTGTAATCATTCGTATTGTTATACCAGCATTGCGACATTGAGTTATAGCATCAGGTATTTCAGGTCGTACAGGATCTTCAATACCACAAATACAAATACATGTTAATTGATCAACGACGTAAGCTTCATCATCCCAATTAGGTAAATCATCGGATGAAAAATCTCTATATGCAATACATATTGTACGTAAATCATTGCATTCCATTGGTTCAACAGTATTTTGTACAAGTCGGTCGTAATCATAATTTGAAAATGGCATAATATCCCCATTACGATTTAATATTGTTTTATATTTTTTTTCAAATAATTTCAGAAGCACTTTTTGTAAACATACGTATAGTTGAATCAGGTCGTTGAATAACTGTTGATATATATTTTCGTGCAGACTTAAATTGATAAACATGAAGGAATTGTTCTTCTGGATAATTTTTACGTATTTCATCATAGTTTCCACCAAGAACATCAACAAAACCTAATAAACTACGTTTAGTTTGATTTCGAACTTGTTGTGCTAATGTTTCATCTTCTTTTGGAGACTATAAGAAAGAAGAAAAATAAGAACAAAAACGACAAATTTTTCGATATGAGTTTAGTTTCATATTTTGAAAATAGTTGAATACAAACTTACAAATAGTTGTGAGGAATAGCTACTATTAACGGAAACACTTTCAAATATAATTTCTTTTCTATTAGTTGGTATAATAATTTCTTTAGATTTAGATGGATTTCCAACATTTTTCCAATGTTTTTCACCAACATAAACTTGTACAACAGTCATATAATTTTGTTGAACTCACGTATATTTTTAAAGAAAATAGACAGTGTAAGTTTTCATTTCGAGGTTTTGGGGCTCTCCCTCCCCTCCCCAGGGTTGTCGATTGTTTTCAGGAGTGGGGGGGGATAACATTTTGGCAGAAAATGCTCTCACTTTCGTGGTATGAAAACTTTCGACCAGGGGATTGGGAGCGATATCACCTCTCACTTTTATTCCTTTAATGGTTGCAAAATTTTCGCAGAAAGTGCTAAGAATTTGGCAGAGAGCCTACCATTTTAGGGGGGAAATCCCCCCCTAATCGGCAAGCCTGCCACTCCCTCCCCATTACAGACACTTAGCAACAAAGAAAGAGAACATTACAGACATACCCCCATGACAGACCCCCCTCCCCCCACATTACAGACCTCAGCAACTGCACAGAAAAAAACTCAAACTTTAAGTAACAATAGAAAAAGACTTGAACACTTTAAAAAGTATGAAATTGATTGCTACACAATATTATAATGTTTTCATAATTATTTGAAAAAGTTAATGTGCATTTAACATAATTTTTAATAATATAAATATTGATTTTTAAAAGAATTTTAGCTTGTATAATAAAAATCAAGGATGAATAGTTATAATAAGTATTAATATGTCGTACCGATGATATAATCAATACGAGAAACATCATTCAATCTTCTATTAGTACCAGAAGGCAACAATATTATTATTGACGAATTAATTGAGATGTATAGAAGTATTGTAAGAATGGCTAATGCATATTAAGTGCACTCTTGTAAGAATCGTATTTATGAAATATTTGATGATGAAAAAAATTTCAAATAAAAAGAAAAGAATGATTATTATCGAGTATATAGCAACACTAATAATAAAAATCAGGTGCGCTCAGACAAAAAACATACTCGCAGTTTTAAACATGTAAATAATAAAATATTGTTTATATCAGTGATGAGTTATAAGAACCATTTTAATCAACAGGATCCTTTCAGCTTACAAAAGACATATTGGGATAACAAGTCTAAAGGATATACGTGAGTTCCACATTTTAGCTCCTTTGGTGCTGCACTAACTAGCTTTTCTAATATTTCTTTACTTTTAATCTGGCTGATGACTCAGTCTCCTATATACTAGTTTTTTAAAACTCATAAATAAAAGCCCTCTATTTTGTTTAGAACTTTGATGTTTTTGTCTATTTCTTGATAGGCAGAGTGTTTTAACAAACTTTATATGACTCTTTATGAGTCATTTCATGACTTTTCTCTCCCAATGTGTTTTGCAATGTGTTTTTGCAATGCAAGCCACTGTTTAAATTTTGGCAAATACGGCGAGCAAAGAAAAACGTGACATAAAGAAGCAATTCATCGATTTCATATTTGTTTACTGCTGCATTTTTTTTTAATAATTTTTCAAACATCTTTTTCTGAAAGTAAAAATTTGTATCCACAAGAAAATGCTTTGCTGGAGTCGCCGAAAACGGTACACATTAAAATTAAATCGGCAAGTTATTATTGTTGGAGATCGTCATTGTGGTAATCATCATTTCTGTTCCATATCATCAAATACTATTTTTTTCAGTATAACATTTTAAGGTAAATCATGTTTAGAACAAGCTATTGTTGGTAAAGAATGGACTGATATGTCTACGGTATCAACATTAGATAAGAATAGTATTGAAATTGAAAGTCATGAGCAAAAAGTAGAACTATAATTATTTGAATGAATATAATCGAGATTTTTCGTTACATGCTTTAGTTTAAATTGACTATATCTACTGTGCCAGCCGAAGAAGAATATGATCGAATTCGACGTCTTTTCTATCCATGTACTGATGTAATCATTATGTGTTTTGCTATCGATCAGCCTGAGAGCTTCAAAAATATATCTGAAGTAAGTTTTATTACGGTTGTTTTTCATTTTCGTAAGGGCTCAATATATTCCAGAAGTGGATACCAGAATGCGTACATTTTTGTTCAAGAGCCCCGATCGTTCTTGTCGGTAAGTTCATCGGTAGTAATAGAGAATATCTCACTACTTTCTCTTCTAAGGAAACAAGAAAGATTTAAGAGACGACAAGGAAATGACGAAACAATTAATTCAACCTAAAGAAGGTCATAAATTGTCGAGGCAAATCGGTTCCCTTATTTATATGGAATGCTCGGCAAAAACGGGAGAAGGTTCGTATACGTTGAAATATTTCATCCAACTCTGTTATAAATGATGCGGAACATCAATAATTAGAGCTGGAGAAGGAGCATTTTCGGGTGATTGGCCAATTTTATACTTAAACTTAGTTGAAGATAAATAATCGAGCAGTTTGATTTCAGATACACAGATAAAAACAGTTTCCGAAAAAATTCGAAGGCTATTCTTTTACATAATTAGTGGGAACCGGAACGATGAGCACGAGGAACTATGAGCACGGAACATTAAGCACGGAACGTTAAGCACGGGAACGATGAGCACGGGAACGTTCAGCACCGACAATTTAAGCACACAAAATACTGAAACTAAATAGGATGTTGGTGGGTGTCATGCGTGGTTCTGGAGTGGGTGTTAGTGAACTGCACGGAACTCCGAAATTCGACTTAGGCGAAGTTGGGGTCGGAGTTATAAAACCAGAACTTTACGGGATGGCAGCCGGAGTCGGAAGATTTTTCGGATTTTCGTCAAAACTTTTTAGTCATTGCTTCTGAGGTTTCTGAAAACTCATCGCTAAATTATACAAACAAATTCCCGGAATTTCTTGGAGTTGAAGGCCAAAATTTTTTTTTTTTTGATGGAGTCGGAGTCGAAAAAAGTTTTTTTCGGCGTCTGAGTCGGAGCTGCAGCTTGAAAACTTTCAGAGTCACAAAATTTGACTCCGCAGTTCATTAGTGGGTGTGGATGTGGAGTAGCTGTGGGGTCGGTATTAGGTAGCCGTAGGGTGGAGAAAATGACAGACTTCAAGCTTCATGAGATTTCAAAACACTTCACGAAACTTCAAGCAAGGAGACTTGAAATTTTCAAAAGACTTCAAGGAACTTCAAGAGACAGAAGTCTCTGATATTCCCCTCAGGTGTGGGTATGACTGAAGAGAAGATCAATACCTCCACCCGCTCATATCCTTTTTGGTTTCAGTTTTTTTTGCGTGCTTAAAATGTCGGTGCTGAACGTTCCCATGCTCGTCGTTCCTCGTGCTTATCGTTCCGTGCTTAATGTCCGTGCTCATCGTTCCTCGTGCTCATCGTTCACCAATCCATAATTAGTAGTGCGATTTATAATATGTTCGTTTTAGATTTTAATATTTACTCAAATCAAAGAGTAAAATTCGATAGTACTCGATCAATAACGTTGCGGGCGCGAATGTCATTCTCTACTCATACTACATGCTAAACTTACACACGAATTCAGAAGCATTCTCTTCATATCCTTATTCTACTCTACTGTTAAAGTTACGACAGCTTCACGTTTCTATAAGTAATTTTTCTCAATATGCTGTATCAATAATATCAGTTGTTCGATTTTTGTATATGTAGAGTAGATGTAAGAACAAGTAGTCTATCTGTGAGGCAGAACCGGTCTGACTAGAGGTGATAGGTGCTATGACAAATTTCCGGATCCTCAAAATTTTCCATGTTTTCCTAGGAAAATCAAGACATTTTCTTGCATTCTGTTTCGAAAACCAATGGCGTATTCTCTACGAAACCAACAACCAACAATAGTGTTGGTTGATTCATGTCACCTCTGTTGTAACGTTGCCAATGAGCACTATCACGCTCTCTTTTTGAAGTCAAAGTCATTAATAATTTATAATTCCAGTTTTCAATGAAAAAACTATTTTATATGAAAAAGAATTTCCACTAATCACTATTGGACTTGCCAAATTTAGAATTTTAATATCCTGTATCACATGTTCATCTTGATTTACCATTTGAACAGATTAAATATTGAGTGTTGTACAGTACTTATGTGAATCTCCTTTTCTTTTTAGGTATTCCTGAATTAACTGAGTATATATTGCATTCTATCAATATCAAAGTTGCGTTAAAATGATTGATTATTTTTCATTGACTATTCAAACTATTTCATACATCTTTTCATATTATTTTAAGGCTTCCCCTCCCCCCCTCAAAAATCGATTTCAGCCGGGATACATCCATATGGGCTGAAATTCGGAGGGTATGTTGAGGCTGAAGTGAAGAGGGTATGGTAAAATTTTCGGCTCAATACTATAACGTTTGACAGAGATATGAAGCAAACAAGGGTCAAAAAATAGCTCATTTTCTGTCCAAGGTTTCTCAGTTCAGGTTAGCACTACATATTTAATTTTTTTTTGCTAGAAAGAGCATGTCAGGATATAGGGCACCACAGAGCCCTTTTTTAATATTCTTACTTTTTTAGCAGAGAAAGGGATCACAATTTCAATGACTCAAAAAACGTGCCGAAAATGGGTACTTAGTTACAGAAGTGTCTGTATACATAATAAAAATAAAACTTAATTTAAAAAAAGGGACTCTGTGGTGCCCTGCATCTTGACATGCTCTTTCTAACAAAAAAAATTTAAATATGTAGTACAAAATTGGATCGAGAAACCTTGAACAGAAGATAAAGAAGTCATAAATCGAGAAAAAACGAAAAACATTTTGTTGGTTTTTCAAAAAACTGCTGGTTTTTCGAAAAGAGGTTTACAGAAATCTTGAAGTATTTTTAGAAAAATAGAAGCATTTAGAAAAAAGTTTTATTGTTTTTGAAAGAACAGGTGACGAACTATCTCCCCATGCCCTTATCTCAATTTTGGTCATTTTGACGAAAACTGACTTTTTTTTTGAGGAGGAGGGAGGCCTTAAATAAAATCTTTTTTAAATTACTTATACTTACGTATAAAATAAAATATAACGCTTTTGTTTCAAAAAAATAAAGGGTGGGTGTGTGTGTGAGTGTGGGTGTGGGTGGGGGTGGGGGTGGGTGTGGGTGTGGGGTGTAGGTGTGGGCTTTGTTCTATTGTTATCTTTCACCCACAG